TTATTTATCCTTACGACAGTTTTCCCAATTTTTTAGAAGTTAGCCGTAAATACCGAATTTGGGCCCTACCTTTCTATTTACGCACCATTTGTCAATAGTATCATTTGTTAAACGAATAAGATCTTTTTTTCAAAGCTCCACTGACGTTTTACGTCAATTTTTTTAGCTTCAGGACGCGCTTTTTTCCAACAAATTCATTTTTGTTCCGAATTGTTGTTTTCTTACTCTGGACGGTTTGTTTTCTTTCGTTTGTCGTTACGAAATGTTTTACCACTCATAGTATTCCATTTACTGGCAATTATCTTTTATCCTGCCCAGCCAGCCTTCTTTCCTACACATAGTAGAGCAGGAGGTAACTTCTGCTTTAATTCTTCTCGTTAGCTATTCCTTAGGCTACTTCGAAGTATACTTGGTTTCTTACGATGGTACAGGGACACAGTAGTGTCAATGGCATATGTGCACAAAGCAGGTGTCTGTAGACTTCGTTTAATTAATCGCTTTCTTATGTGCTAAGTGGAAGCACTGAGCTCCCTTTCTGTATTTGTTGGTCACTGACATTTGGTGCTGTCCTGCATTTTGAACTCAGAACTATGTAGACGCGTGCAGTTGTCGATATTGGGTTAGAACTTTTGTTCAGTTATTTACATCATGTTTCTATCGTATATGTTTCTGCTCACCCTTCTATACCCAGTGGGCAATATGAGGAGGCTGTGCGAATGGTGTTAGACAACGCACCGGTAAACTCAAAGGACGTGGGCCTTAAGGAGGCCGCCTCAGCACTGATCCTGCGTGGCATGTCATCGATACGCACAAACCAAATTGATGCCTTTGTGGGCGGATTGAACCAAAAGCAGTTGGATACGCTGATGAAGTATATCTATCGCGGCTTTCAGAAACCTGTTGATATTACTTGCCCTGCGCTGCTTACTTGGCACGAGAAGGTTTGTTCTAATCGACTACCTTTCATTCATTAGTCCCCAAAACTAACATGTCCATCTCCCCTTTTTAACTCTTGAATGGGATTCAGTAGGTAAACATTGGTTTTGATCGTTTCACTTTAAAATGTTAACTGAACACTATGGTTTATAGTGTAACGCAAACCCACAGATGAGTCATGTAGGAATGAAGCGACTCAAGATGGGCATGAACCTCAGATCTTTCCAGTTTAATCGTTGGTCTAATTAACGAATAAAAATAAAATAAATAAAATAAAATCACTTCCTAGTCTCTCAGTCGGTCGGCAACCTGCTCCATGCAAAAGGAACGAATAACGAAGAGGGTCGAACTGTTTACGGTCTACTGAATGGGATATCTTTGTGTGCAAGTGAATACCTTTCTCTATTCCCTGTTCCTCATTTAAGGTCCTCGCCAAAGGGAAACTCAGTTCAATATGCCGCGTCTTGACAGACAGGCAGGTTGTCTGACCCCGTCAGCTCAAACGGCAATCATCAGTGCGACCACCGCCAGTTTCCCGAAATTCATTCCCCTCTTCATACCTTTGATCCTACCTTTGATCCCACTCCACTTTTTCCTTGTCCTTCTTTTTTTTTAAATTTGGAAGTCGTGTGATACCGACGACCGCCTTCTTCCACGTTCTCTTTTTCTTGTTCCTAAGAGGGAAAAGGGAAGCGCATTTTGCTGCTGTGAAGCTGAATCGACACGCAGTTTCAATTTTATTAAGCTCTATTATCACAAGGGTCCACCTCATAAGGGTTTCGGTTGCTCTCCCTTTGCGAAATAGTTTCCAAGCGAGTCGTAATTTTATTTGCATCGGAGTAAGAAGGATTCCTTCTCACCAATCAAGGTGTTAAATTGTCTCATCTCATGCAGGCACAGCACTTCAGTTCCACACTGTGAACAAACGCATAAACCTCAAAGACGCTGGTAGCGGGAACTGGAAGATACGATGTGGTGGTCGATTTGGGTGATACTTTTCGAAGCACCTGCCAATTGCTTTAACCTCGGTGGCGAATGTCCACAAAATCTCAGCAGTCCGAGAGTAAAGCAGGCAGGCACGGAGACCGTCTTCCGCGTTTACTGCCACTGATTAACGGAACTACTCAGGTGTGCTTGTAGATTTCCCTGCGCAACGTGGAAATTAGACGTTCCCCTTTGAATCGAACTAAATTTTTTTAATTTCAACTGGTCTGGAGTGCAAATGAGGGGATTTCTCCCACCACGTGGGAACTGCCAGTGCACTCTGACAGGTATGCCCTGCCCTTGGTTGAATTGACATCGATGAAGGCTCGACCTCCAAGTGCGCAGTGCTGAAATGCCCTCGCCTCGCTCATTTCTAAGAAAACAAGTTCAATGATCTTAACCTAATCACTTCCGCTTCCTTTAACTGTCGTTGCTCCCGATAGCTTCCAGCATAACCACAGCCCTCATTGCTAGTCTCCTAATTTAGGCTTTCTCGGCCTGTGCAAGCTCGCCATCGATCTGAATTAATAACAATCACCTGATGGACACACCTTCAAGTTCCAAATCCACCCACATCCAAAAAGGTTAAGAGTTCCAAAAGGAACACGTCGAAGGCCACAATAACCAAGCACAGTACTACTATTTTACATTATATTAAAGACGAGAAATTGAAGAACAAAGTGAGTGGGGCATAGCTTGTCATCATGGTCGGGGGATAATAGGTATAGGCGTGCTTATCTTGTGTCATAGACAGTCTCGACGCCTTGTTAGTTCTGAAAGAAAAACATACGCACAACTCCATCGGACGGGCGGAACACAGTAGAAGTACTCGCAAACTGCACTCAAAGTGGTAGGAAGTGGAGAATAAATTCAAATCAAAGAGGGAGAATTAATTGTTTTGGAAGCGGTCAATGAGGTGTCTTACATGACCTTGACTTCGGACCACGGTGGGGACCACGGTGGAGGTCATGATTGATGCTGACGTCATCACGGGTGATGTGGGAAGTGTTGAAGTTCCCATAGGCCCATTTTCATCTTTGCATTCAGTTGGCTTTGCAGAAGACCCAGGCCTGCGTGGAGGCTTGCTTGGCCTGCTCCAGGCTCTATTGGTGGTGACGGAGACGTCTCGACCTTCAGAGGGTCTCAAGGTCGCCACTGCAGCACGAAAACGACCTTGACACAGAGAAGCAGCTTCCTCGTTGGGAACCCTCGTTTGTGTCGACGTTGTATTTGGAGGTAACTTCGGGGATAGTGGTGTTGTGCCTACCAAGATAGAAGGTGGAAGAATCTCAAACATCCCCAAAGGAGATGCACTCCTCTTCCAAATTTTACTGCCAGGGCACCAGAGAAGCTTATTAGATTCTTTAAAAACCACCAGAACTGCCAAACGCGAGACACATTGCATTGCATAACTTTAAGCGCGAAAAGCGGTCAACTACCGCTACCAACCATCTTCGCGACTAAGGTGGCAAAAAAGAAACTTGTATTTGCCATATGTTGACAACTGCCACGTAGAAATCCGTTACTAACCATTTGCTCGAGAGGTTGCCTTGACTCTAGATCCATTCGTCAGTGGGTTAGATCTAAAGTATACCCAAAAAATAACTCTTAGAAGGCTGTGAAAGCTGCCCGCATTCCAGTGGACACCTACGACCAACCTTGGCGAAGGCGCAACATCTACCCTCGATGCTCCGAGATTTCTCGGCGGCTTGGAGTGTTGAACCCTCGTGGACGCTTGAGGTGCACTAAACTTGCGCATCGTCGGTGACCTTGAAGAGTCGTTTCGCACAACGAAAGACGCAGTCGATGGGCGAGGTGTCACCTTTGCAGGGCACGATTGAGTAGTGGCACGCGATTGGGAAGGTCGATACGCCTTTCCAAGAGTCGGCTGAAGTAGAGAAATTCAGAGTGTTCTAATTCCTTCATGTCAGCCATGTCAACTCAAAGAGACCGCCTTCATCTCGCGATTTCACTCACAGATGTCAGTCGACCACCACCACTGTCATCACCAACATTGGTACCGTCACTGATCGAATCAATTGCAATCCGACTGACAAGTTGACAGGCGGACATTGGTGAGGTGCAAGAAGTGGAAGACGAGGCATCCGAGCAGTCTTCACTGCTTGCCAAAGTCGGCACCCGATTGTCATTAGTCTCTTCGTTTAAAACTCCCGCTTTTCCACTGGCCCAGGGCCCACTGTGATGATTTTGGTCCTCCGTGAGGGTGAGCAGAGGTCGAAGGATCTCGTCCACTTCTCCTGGCGATAGAGTCGCCATGGAACGCGTTTTGGCGATGTACTGTTCATAGGCACGACCAAAGGTCACCGTATCGTACTGTGATGCCTCCTGGCATTCGATAAAGATTGAGGCACCGGTAGGGTTGTGCGCTAAGCCGTACTGTCGACCTGTAGAGAGGATACTACTGGTGTGTGAAATAAGTAGACTAGCATGCCAAAACAAACTAACGGGTGCGTAACTGGCGGACCTTTCGGTGGTGAGGTGGGTTTGAACTCGGGTAATTTTTGCGGTGGGATCAGGTCAACTGCAAATCTTTCCTCATTTATCTCCACCGCAATGCACCGAAAATCCTCCTCATCCTCGTCTTCCACACCATTCACCTCCAGTTGCTTCTCCGATGCGGTAGGCGTGCTTGGAAAAAGGGTTGTGACAGCCGTGGTTGGTGCGACACCAGTAGAGGAGGAGGAAGAGGAATGCTTTGCCATTAGAGCGTTCCAAGCGTCCTGTACCAGTGCCACATGTTCTGCGTCATCCTCATCAGCGTCGCTACCATCACAGGGATTATCACTGCCATCGCTGTCGTTGGGTGTTGTGGAAGAGAGAGGAGGGGGATTCTCATTTGCTTGCAGCTTTGAAGAGGATCTCGCAGTACGATTGCGACGTTTGAAGATAGCTGCAGAACGGGAGAGGAATGGAGATAACGATCGCATCAAAACGCACTAAAACGGCTTAACATTGGCCTTTAAAACAATTAATTTATAAAAATAAAGACGATGGTGTTGACAATCAGTGCTCTAACAGCTGCATTCATATCACCACTCTCTCACCAGTCAAGACACTAGATCCTTTTCTTCGAGGAGCATGCTCTTCCTCAGATTCATCAACTGATTGCAATCCCATCTGACTTCCAGCATCAGACAATTTTGGACGAGGGCAGAGGTCTTCCATGTGGAGCATCAAATGTTTTGCTTTCTCTGGAATCGCAGCATCAAAGTTCTCCAAAATTACCCTTTTTATCTCTCGACACCACAACTGCTTCACCTCTGTACTCGCTGCTTGCAGGGTCTTTTGGGCATTGGGATTGTTAAAGGGGAGTATGTGGAAGGCCAACGGGTCTTTGTCAATGCACTCAATCAACATTAGATTGTTACACTAAAAGTGGATCCAAAAAATGACTTTACTTAAACGAAATTAGTAAAAGTCCTATTCAGTTTGAGACAAATTGCTTACACTAATAATATCACGAATCTCCAGCACGGACTGCGACCCCTCTCCAGGTGATTGCAAGTCCTTGAGATTAGGTGCTGAGTTGTTTCCAGCGTAGGAGAACTTCTTCGCCAACAGAATGGCCCGTTCAAAGAGGAGAACCAATCGGCAAGCGTGTTTTTTGGCGGGCAATCGAAAGACATCACGCAGCAGGAGGCAACCCCATTGGTCGACGTCAAGGCCACTGGCTCGCAGCTGACCAATGAGTTCATGGCGGCGCTTGGCTTCATTAATGTGGGTGGCCACCTGAATCATACGTTCGAGGGCGCTTTGAAGATGTTTAACAACGGAGTTAGGATCTCCGTTGAATATACTCTGATTTTGACCCAGTCCAGCTAATGTGTAGCCTTTGACAAGCTCCTAAAAGAAAATAACGACACAGAAACTTCATTGAAATACAGCTGAACTGTGTGAAGCCGTCAGATTGTGACTAAAAGCGTTTTGATTCACTCACTTGAAGAAGGAGCTGATACTTGAGGACACGTTGAACTGGTTTTAACAGATAAGAAGCCAGTGGGAGGAGGTGTCCAAGACGGGATTGACAGGCGAGAATGGAGGCCCACAATTCCGACTGCAAGTGGCTCTCGTGTTCCAGCGTCTGAATGGATCTAGATGATGGATGAACCATAATAACAGGCCATCTTTTCTTAACAGCGTTCCATAAACACCGATTTTGCTTCAAATGTTATTGCAAGAAGGGATTTCTGTAAATAAAGTCCTGAAATTTCACCCTTCCACAGTACGAAACCTTCAACTTGCAATTCGGGGGTAACAAGGCATGCTATGAAAAGTAAAGTGGAAGGGGACGCAAGTCTTGGAAAAAACTCGTACGGTGTCTAACACTGCAATGTAGAGGGTACCGTTCCCTTTAGAGAGATTCTTCCGTCCAGTTTACAAACTCATTAGCATTTTCGGCATACCAATTCGAATTTGGGTCCAAACTTTGCATGAGTAACAGGAGTTCGACCTCCACGCGGCTGGAGAGCTGCCAACTCAGTCATCAACGGAGCAATCCATAAAATTAAGGTGGTCATAACTATCCCACAGGCTTCAATTGTTGCCCGCAAAAGAGACTATATGGGAAGAGTGGTTGAACTTTGCCGTTATCCATGAAGAAATGACGTGAGAGGTGTATCCCAGAGTTAAGCACGGTATACAATCACACCTCCGCTCCAAATCTAGGACCTCAGGCCACCTAGGCCCAATAAGAGCGAAACGCGTCCAACGAGAACAATGAAAGGGGAGCGGAGGAAGGCACATGGTGTCCAATTTCGATTCCGCAGGTGATTCAACGTCCCAAATTTTCAGTATTAATGAGTCGAGGGAGAACAATGGCACGTCAAACCATGTAGTGAGAGCTCATCGGTTATAGACTACTTAAAGCAGAATTTCGTGCAATCGAGAAAAAAAATGTTCTCAAAACGTGGTTCACTAAGCTGAGAATTAAAAAGCCCTTTATGCCTGGCTAAGGATATGTTCACACTTTCCATGTGTTAGACACCAAGGTTGGGAGGACAAATTTTGACTAAGGAGTGTACATCTAGAAGCATGTGGATTGGTTACTATCCGGTGATTGACTCTTAACTTGGAAGGGCAAGAGATCGACCAATCCAAATGACTCACTTGACCCCTGTTGGATGCGTTCACATTAGTGACATAACGTGATAGGAAGGAGCGGAAACTGGAAACAGGCCAGGATTGCCTCGCCCCTTATCACTTTTACTCGTCGATTGTGTTTGTCTTGCTTCATTACACATACCAAATCGACTTCAAGTCGATTCACTTTCTGTGGTGGACCTACGAGTTCAGTCAAATCTACAGCAAATAATCTAGAAGCTACCACACCAGCTGATTGGAGATGCACAAAATACCCTCATTGATGTCCCATTCCCCAAAATTACAACGCCCACATCCTATGCCTGACCTCGTACTCCGGCGTGATGACAGCAAGTTGTCAGAACCAGGTTATCACAAAGTCCTCCGCTGTGTTTGACCTGTTCATTTATGCGTAAGGATTGGGAGAACGCCTCGACGCCATGCACACACTCCGCCCTCACCACTGGACGAATGGACAGAATAGCGAGGTTCAACAAACCCACATTAATCTTGCCCTTGTCTAAAGTCCAATGGAACAACTTGGCCCTTGCATCACTCACATTCTCAATTTTGCCTACTACATCTTGGGTGGGAGGGGCCATTGGAGATCACATCACCTTCCAAAGGTCTGTCTGGCCAGTAAGGTAGGGAATAAGGGCATTAAAATAGGTGTGAAGTCTGATTTGACACTTTGGGATTTGTCTATTAAGCAGTCCTGAAAGTAACTAAACATTTGTTTTCAGGCCACCGTATAGGGAAGAGTTTGTAAGAAATGCTAAGTGCACGTCATTTTGGATTCAAGGCGATGAATGTTACAAGTCAGGCTTCCCATTCCCTCAAAAACATAGGGCGCTTTTCTAGAGCTGACGTAGGTTATGCGTTTGAGGGAACAAAAGCAGTGACAGTGATGCTCCTCATGGCTCTGGATTCGCTCCAACCACCTTCCCGAGTAGAGGATGTAAACAATTGCATACTCTCCAATGCGTTGACTACAGAAACAGTCCTTCCATAAAGTGTGGGATCTCTAAGCATCACAGTCCCAAAAAAACCATAAAATGTCCTCTGCGACACAATGACGACGGCAATGCCGTCATATCCAGTCACTGCATTAGCAGCATGACGGAGGACGAGGTGCTAAGTGACCTCACAGACGGCGCAGCGGAGAGCACAACTTCCCACCAATCAAATTTGACTGATTGCTGAGCAAAATGCAAACTGAATGTCATCAATTTGTCTACAAGATTCAACTACTAAGTGGAAGATGTATTCTACCACCATGAGGCTTCACCTTTAGGCACTGAGGCGCTCCATCAGTGGCTCTTCTGTAAGTAGAGAAAAGGCTTTCCGCGCTATTATCAGATCTCTCCACTACCAAGGGAAAGATTCAGGTTGCTGTACCAATGCAAGCGGAGAGCAGATGTGTCCTAGAGGCCAATGCGAATGTGGGAGATGGAAGAATCAGTAAACGGTCCCTAACAGAAGGGTTGACCGCAGATTCGGTCTCAAACATCTATGCCAATCTCGTGTCTTAGAGGCTGCTAATAAATGAAGCGAGGCTAGGGGCAACCGTGACACGCCTGCCCACGATGTCCACGTGTCAACTACCCACTTTCCACCAACTGGTCAAAATCAGAGTGGTTAGGGTCGGTCAGTGAAGTGAGGACAAAGTGCCCAAGAGGAATGGTCACAAAACTCTGTCTCAATGAAACCATTTTTAGTCCTGCCGTTGAGTAGATAGCTAATGATGAACAAAGAAGTGGTCATCACAGTTCCTACCCCCTCCATTGCAAGTACTAAATAAGTCCAAACTCTAGATCCAATGGAAGAGCCAAGAGGGATCGGTGAAGGTGTAATGCGACTCCAGTTTCATACAATTTGGCTGACTGACATACAGAATTTTGGCAAGAGGGACACCTTGGACGAGATTCAAGGGGAGAGAGGAGACGTGGAATGCTCAATCGTTTGTTCAACTCCCTTTTTGGTAATGCCGATAGCCTCTTAAGCCTTCCACACATCTTCCCTCCCCTTCAAAAGTCGATACAATGTTACTTCATAATAAACATTACCAAAAAATCTTTTCAAAAAGTTCATTCAATCGAGCAAGATCCATGGCAGGTCATTCACTACGCCTCTGTACCAGCAAATGCAATTAACAGACCTTTCCTTTCCCTCGCCCCCTCCTTTGTAGTCTACCTCCACCCTCCTCTGTTTTGTGGATGAAAAACCTGCCGTAGTGGAGGGCACGAGAGAAATGGGAGTCGAGACGGTTGGATATTGTCAACCTTGGCCACCTCGACCTCCCTTGTTGACATTTCAATGACATTTTAGTGTGATTCAGACCAAACCAATGTAGTCGGCACACGAGAGCTAATAGGGTTACCTCCACACCTTTTCATGCAGGGACAGGAAAACAAACTACTGTGTGCTGAAAACAAGATGATCAGAGGTGTCTTCAGTGCTGTTACACGCAAAAAAGTGTAAGCAAACCCAAAACACGAACTGTACCGACTAGTCTGTACGATTGGAAGATGACAGTAAGGACAGACGTCCTTGAAAGCGCCTTTGTAAAGACGCAGATGTGGTGAAAACTCGGGACGCTTAAGTGGTTGAAAGAAAGTTTCTTTGCGGCATTCACAACAAATAACCTAAGGGAGGCACCGATCACGAGAGAGAGGAGAGCCCACCGTGGCGTCAGTGGACCTTGACAGTGAAATTAACCAGACCGTTAGCGAGTGGAAAGGATGACAGGTAGAGTCAAACGCTCCCCGAAAAGTAACCGAAAAACAAATGCGTGCATATGCCTGCGGCAGAGCGGACACGTAAATCAAGGATAATTTTACCTCTCCTTTAGAAAATTGGATGCCAACTACCGATCGGTGAACTTCAAGTGCAACAGTTTTTCATGCGATGAGAAGCGAAAAGTGACGACATTACACGCAGCATTCTGATGAATGGGTGAATGAATAAATGGTGAAGACGGGAACAACACTTTCCATTCTGTGCACTTGATGTCAACGTGTCTTGACAGACAGATTTATACACTCCTTTTTCATCCAATCTGCCAATGGTGGGTGTTTGACCGACACTTTTTTCCCACCACCACGGGCAAATGGACCTAACGCACCTGGAGGTTTAACAGAGGTCCATTTCCAACAACTGGCCTCCACCTCAGAAGGCCAGATCAGACAAAGGAAGCAAGAAGTACACTTTAGAGGAAATGAAGCAACAACGCGTCTGGCCATCAGGGAAGTAGAATGAGGAAGGTGGACTTGAAGAGGTCCCACGATCCATCTAGACCACACCCTGAGTGTCTTCGGAATGGACAAGTTGTTCGACCAGTGGACATGGAAATCAGTTCCATGAGGTCAACTGGTTGTGCGAATAGAGGTGAGGAGGACAAACGATGGTACAGGAAACTGGAAAATGGAAAAGGCAGTAGGAGGGAGAGGGGGATTCTGACCCAATTCCAGGCTTCATCTCCAGTGCCACATCACCTTCGCTAAGCCAGTGGGTTGCATTGCCAATGCCAACGCACCCGAAGGTGTACACGCACTGACCCCAAGGCGTCGTGAGTTGAATGAGTCAGACGACCCACCTACCTGCCCGCATTTCTGGGTCACATTTGACCACTGGATTTCTGCCCACACACGTACACCTTCCTTCTTAATTGGACACCCTAGGAACTAAATACGCCCAGTAGTTCACAGCCAGATGTTGCCTCACCGCTTTGAGTGATCGCCAATTCAGTCGGAAAAATGGATGAAGGTGATGACCTCTAGAAAAATGGCTGTATCAGTATGGTGGCTAACCAGTGTCTTCCAAGTTTCACGGTGGTACCCAAACAAGGCAGCCAACACGTCTACAGGCGTCAAAGCATGAAGAAAATGCCGCCATCACTGACACGTGACAAAAGGACTGCCTGAGGACATTGGATGTCTTGAGACATAAACACTGGCGGAGAAATGATGCCAAGAGATAGCATAATCGGCAGTTGTGGAAGCGAAGGTAAACTGATAGAGGTTAAGGATTATCTTGCCAAACCTGCCTCGTTTTGGGTGCCCTGAAATGTCACAGCGAGGTCCACATGCGCTATTGGTGGTGGGAAATGTCGCACGCAAACGTGACGGCTGTCCAAATAGTGTCAATTACAGATCTGGGAGGATGAGTTATGGAAACCGCAACTCTCATACAGGTAAATAGGTCGAAGTTAAATGTTTCCCTGGAGATGATGTTCCAATGGCAGTGGAATTCAATTTTATCATTAATATCTCTCGCCTGATTCACAAAGACGATGAAGCATTTTGGGTTGTAAGTACAACCGTTAATGGTCCAAGGCTCCACCCGATGAAAAAGGATGGGGACGCCAACGACTCGAATCTAACCCACAACCACACAAACTCCAAATTCTGAAGGGCGGAGCAATCAAAGGTTGTGAAGAACTGGTGAAGGCATGGAGTGCATCAACTCACAGGGAATGTTCTGTACAAAACTCCACGTAGAGTCCTTCAAAATCGGTTGCACGTTCCAAGAACACATCAGCCAGACCTACGAGGTCATCCCGATTTCGATACAGCTCGTTCGAGAATATTCTAGAGTAAAAAATGTGGAACGAATCAGTCTTGACATCGGCTTCTGAAAAAGGGGGAAACCTCCTTTTATGAATCCGATGAGTTGACCAAACAAAGTGGTTCTTTGATCAGCAAATTCTCAGACGAACGTCCTGATTCTAGTGATTCAAGAAAGCTCACTTTCAACAGCACTCAGCCATTTAACCATGACTCCCCACTCTTCCTGAAATAGCAGAAACTGAGATGTTTCTATTCAGAGTCTCTTCGACAACCGACGTACTTGCTAAGATACTTATTAAACTATTGCTTTAACTAAGTGGAATATTTGGTCTCAGTGGGTCTTGATCAAGTTTAATGCTTCCTCCTTCTTACGACCTCGAGGATATGGGACGTTTTGAAGTCATTTTACAACTTTGCTACTAGCTTTGAGAAAAGGAGTGTGACGACTCGATGCCTTTTTATCCATTAACCGGTGGGCTCGATAGATGACTCTGTTTTCATTCCAGTAAGAGGCATCAAGGGCAGGTATGGCAAGTCCCGGACACACGCAACCATCGATGACCTTGATATCAACCAATAGGCGACTTACTGGTGGAATGCATGTAGTTGGGTTATATTGCTGAAGACGATGTCCAACGTGGTCGCATCAAACTTTCCCTCCGCAATCAGTGGGAGGTAATAGCCCTGGGAAGAAATGGGAAATTGCAGAAGAAAACTATATGCAGTCAGAGGGATGACACCGTTACTCTGACTAGCCTATTAGCTACTCCATCAAGATGGGCGTTTTCAAATTTCCCCATGAAATAGTTGGGAAATAAAGAAGGCGTGGAGAGTGATGACTCAGACAGGAGCGCGATTTTAACGAAGCTGCATGCAAAATGAGATGGAGTTTCCCCTACAGACCTAAAAGCCTGCTTGATGGCGGAAGAAGTGGTACGGAGCACCACTTAAGCAACAAGTCACGATAGTTTAAGCTCAGTGATAACTGTTACTCGAAGGGAGAACCACTATGTCTCTTGGAGCATACAACTTTTTTAACTACAAAAGAGCTTATCCATCTTCAATGATTGAGGTAGTGGTGAGGTACTCCATAGGCGAGACAAGAAGTTAGTCATCAAATGGATGAACATCTACACGTAGTTGAAACATTTGTTGCGCATCCATCATCGACGGAACTGGTGGGCTGCTGTTTTAGGGGTAATCACCCTTCTCGTCATCCACAGAGTCTCCAGGGCATTCAGTAAGTTTCCCAATGAGTAACCACAACAGGTTAGCCTACGACACAATGAATGTATTTACTTACAAAGGGATTTCAATCAAGCGATATTTTGATTTTTAGGAAATGGAATTTACTGAAGTCTTTAAAAGCTATAGGAAATCGGGAGGCAATTTCACACATTAGGTCTCCATTTTTGAATTTACATTGTTAAAGGCTCTAAACTGTAGACACATCGAGCCTCAGCCACACAGCCTCTGAAGACACTTGTCGCATCCTATTGCTTGTCATTAGAAAAACAGTTTTTTTAGAGTTGCAGCTACACGTAACTAAATTCAGGATCGCATTGTAACCTGCGGAACAGGAGGCTAACAGCCTCACTAGGTTTCAGCTACGCGTCTCTGTGTGAGCAACGCAAAAAGCCTCCAACTCTCGCATGTGCTTTTGTATTTTCTATGTATGTAAAACTTTGAAATGTCCAAGGCACTTGTCACCGATTCATCTCGACGGTGAGAAGACTGTTTTATGCTAGCTGAAAAGCGGAGCCTACCAAGATAATGCCACAAAGTGGTCACTTGGCATGCCATAAAGTTGGAAAAGATGACTAGTAAGTGTTGGGGATTCCCGCATACACGCCACGCCACGCCATGCCGGCAACGAGCCAATGGGAGCGTGAGGCGTAGCGGGAGAAAATCGATAGACGCGGAGTAGGCGGACTGTTGGAAAAAAGCAGAAGCGGCAGCGACGGCGGTGTGAGAATGTGAGAATGATTAAGCCGGTACCGTGAGCATACGAAAATCAGCCTTCTAGACAGTTACAGTCGCTGTGCTACTCATCGAAAATTGCTCCATGGTTGAAGCATGGAAGTTTTAGGCTCGTTTTGTGGGCACTAAAGACAATAGAACTGGACTCTACTAATCAGATATGTTAATGGTAACTACTGTTGGCGTCAGGATGTTTATTTACTCATAATATCAAATAAATTGCGACCGAAATTCAAACTCCTGATGCTACGCAACGGTTTTTCATAGCCATCATCACTAAACTAACAACTTCCGGATGGGGGCCAGCACCTACCCATCAAAAGCCCAAACTACTGATTTGAACAAGCTGTGCGCTTCAAATAGAGGCCTTCTTGAAATTAAGTGCATTTACATTTAGACCACGCTATCTTTTTAAGCAGGAGGGTGGGTGGGTCTATTAATGCCATAAAAAGATCTCCCAGTCATAGTTGCTGAAACATTTTAATGCGAATTCTCAATTTTCCTTCCGGAAACAAAAGATTTCCTGAGAATACAACACGCAGCTACATCCATGTCACACCGTTCCAATGAATTCTGAGTTATCTTCCTGGCCTATATTGTATAAATTTACAAAATAACTACGTTGGGAGATGACAAAATGGGCAACACACTGAAAGATACTCACCTCTTTGATATCTCGCAGACTCTCCAAATAGGCCACCTCCGTCTCTAGAAGCTCGCTAATCACCCAAGCGACTTTTTTCAAGGCTACGCGGGCTTCTGTCAAGGAGTCGGGACTATGAGAATGGGAGTAAACACGTCCAGGAGAGGGACAACGATGTTCCAAGGAGAGTTCTGAGTACTTCAACTGTGGTGTGTACATTGTTCAAGGTTATGAAACATCCTTGAAGACAGTTCTGTAGATTGAGGCGAAAAAAATAATTGATACTGATGAAATGAGTGTGGTTAATGACGAATGATCAGCAGAGCAGAATGCTGGTTCACTGCGTACAGCCTTTTATGACCCTAAAGGTCTAACGTAAATAGGCCCCTGACCCCAAGGAAAATGAAGAATGGTGGTAGAGCTCTAACACAGAATTAAATTGCAAAATCTCATCGAATACGATTAACCCACGTGACAAAGACTGAGACTACGTGTCTTCCATAAAAAATTTTTAATGCATTCCGTTGAATGGCCACTTCAGTGGACACCTACTCAAACACTAATTAGAGAATCAAAAATTCGTCTAGACGATAGGTTAATGGAGGCTGAAAGAGACCAGGAGCAACCATATTAACAGCTGAGAATGCTAACTACTGAGTAACACGACTTCCCTTAATTTCAAAGGACCTACAAGAAGGTGGGTGATTAAACGCTAGCTTAATAACCTCACTGTAAATGTTATCCAATCAAAACAAAGGAAATCCCCCGATCTCATTGGTTACTGGGTCAGAGTACT